TGTACAGAACGGCATATTTGATTTGTGATCGTTGACGCAGGTTGGAGCTTCATATCCTTTCCTTTATGCGAAGCGGGATATTCCTAGCATCGTCCTTTCGACCGCGCGTTCAGCAACGCTGAGTGGGTTGTCATCCTGCTTAAACAGCGACCAGGTTTCTGACGCATACGTTAGGGCAGGAAGCACCGTTGAGTCGAAAAGGTGGGTACGGAGTCGGGTGTTCTTTGTTATCTTCAGTAAATGCACGATGCTTTTGAAGGCTCCTTGAGCCAATCGTTTTATCTCTCATCATCATCTCGCAAGTGATTTGACGATCAACAGGACAATATAGGTGATAGTTGTACCACATATTCATTGTAGTTTTCTTGGCGAGACACCTTGTTGATATCGCAATTCGAGCTGCTTTATATTCTTAAGCTCGTGTAACAGTGCTGCTCACCAATCCGTACAGCTTATGAGAGCGAGCTGTATGCGCTGTACAACCAGTTGAAGGAATTAATCTATCTGCAAGTCCTTCTATTGTTGGAAGGCTGTGTTGTTGTTGAAGACTTTAGTACCATAATAGATTAGGAGTGTCTAATGAACATGAATACAGGACGAGAAATTTCGGAGTATGAAATCGAAACGAGATTGTAAGCCATATTATAGGACTTCTGTCTACAGTGCTTCTCTTCCATAAGAATTCATTTTCCAAAAGGGTAGAAAATCATTTACGGACATGGGTGTCTCCAAAGAGTGTGACTCATCGCAGATGGATCACATCTTCACGAACAGAATATAGTGCCTCTTTGACATCAGGTTGTTCAGAAATAAATGAGCTTTTTAAAATATTGTTTTAATATATTTATCACCAATAAAACATTTCTTGTATCTTGCAATATTACACAACCGATTTTATGCTCTTTCTAACCATGTTTTTATATTTTGCCATAAATTTGAATGGCACGAATCAACGTGATATTCGTGTCCATTTTTCACGAATGGAAGAGTGCACATAATGCCGCGGCAAGTGCTCTGAATATCAAGTTTGCGGTGAAGCAGTGTTGGTGAATCAACAGTGCGAACATGGTTCCGGAAAATCCGATCTGGTGATTTCGACCTCGAAGATAAGGAAGGCCGCGGACTTCCTAACGAACATGACGACGACGAATTGAACGAACTAGTAGGAGCAAAAACGCTAACTGCTCCAAAGCATGCAGAACTTGATCGAATTGTGACGTGCGACGAGAATGGAATCTGTACGACAACCGGCGACGTTCAGCTCACCGGTAAGATTTCGATCAGGCTTCACAGCACTCTCCAAGGCAGAAGTTACACAAAGAAGGTTACAGTCACTGTTTGGTGGCTGTAACTGGGCTGATTTATCACATCTTTTTGAATACAGACGAAACGATTAGTGCAGAGAAGTATTGACAACAAATTGACGAAATGCACCATAAACTCCGACGACCGGCATAAGTCAGCAAAAATGCACCAGCATTTCTCCACGACAACACTCGGGCTCACGATGAGGAAGTAGTGCTGCAAAAGTTCAACTAGCTAGGCCACGAAACTTCGTCTCATCCGCCATATTCACCTGGCAGCTCGCCTACTGACCACCACTTCTTCAAGCACCTTGACAACTTCCTGCGCGAGAAATGCTTCACTAACTACGATGAGGCAAAAATTATCTTCAATGAATTCCATCGATTCCAGAACTCCAGGATTTTATTCAGTTAGAGTAGAAAAACTCGTTTCTGGATGGAAAAGCGAGTAAATTCAAATGGTTTCTAATTTGATTAACAAAGTTCTGTTAAAAGATTTTAAATAACATAGTTAAAGATGCCCAATTATTTCTGAACACAATAATATGCCAATGCCTGGATTCTCTGGCGGATGTGGCCGCTGTTCGATGATTGGTTCCAGCGCAAAGCTGAAAAAAAAATCGCTCAAAAAAAACGAGACGAGTTGTTGCAATGAGGACATTCTTAATAAGGACCTTTTCTCGTATTAATGGCAGATAAAGGAGGACGCGGCCGAGGTCCACACGTTCCTTGTCGGACTCGTGCCAAACTAGTCTCAGTTCCTAACTGTATCTCCATCAGCACGAAAGAGTTGTTCGAGATGACTGAAGTTTGATTATAGTGCAGTACGCCTAACATGAGCTAATAAGCTGGTAACAGATGCCAGCCGTATTTCTTTGGATAAGGATGGGTACAGGATGAAGAAGTCTTTGGAAGCAGCTCAGAATCGATCCTTTCCGAAGAAGTACCGGCGCAGATGAGTCTATCCTTACATCCCGGTATGATATGGAATTGACATTGGAAAAGTTCTACACCAATAATGAAAGAAACAGCACCAGAACCGCATATCACTACCGATTTTCTCATAGCTGAATGCTGCAATTTGCACGTACCTGCCGCAGCCAACACAACATGTTACCTTTAGAAATCAGAAATTTCAGACCACTAGAGGACGTATTCGTGGCAACACCAACCACCTGTCTTCGCATGTGAAAGCGATTTTAGGAATTCGGAGTGGCCCTCGCTGGCGTCACCTTATTCGAGGCATTTCACTAGCATGGATGACAATTCCGCGAGAGAAACGAGCGGGACTTATGCTGGGATCGGGAACCACCAGTGAAGACTGGTCAATCAAGTATCCAAGTAGATGCATAACAGTACTAAAAGACGTTGTTTGACGGCTACCAGCTTTAACCAAATAGCTTTCAAGGAAAGAAAAACATCCAGAACACTGGAATTTGCACCTCAAAATAGTAGATTAGACGAGAACTGCTAATGAAATGTTTATTGAAAATCAGGCGCCAATTCTTAAACATGAAAAAGACAGCAAAAACTCCTCGTTCATCATAGTCTCGACAAAGGATAAACTCAAGTTTAAAACACCTCACAGGAGATAAAGGGACACACAACACAATTGAAAATTACGAAATTCAAATCGGACAATTCTAGGAAAAACCAACAGAAATACAATATACGGCCAATATTATATACTGAACACAATAAAATGATATAAGGTCAGATATTTGAAGAGACACAAAGAAAAAAGTGAATGGAAATGAGATGGCTGGGAAATGAGTGAGTGGGCAACTAATGCACTAGTTTGCCATTCCTTTACTTTTTTCAGTTCCTAAGTACCCACATTCGAGTACATTATAGAATATTAAAGGTTTACCTCTAAAGTGCATGGATTCGTAAGTCTACCGACAGATACCGAATTCGACTGCCCACCAATAGCTGCTCTATGAATAGCACATGTATCAGTCGCCAACAACACCAAATCACACTTTGGGCGAATAAGCCGCGCATGACCTTGTCTGCCTCCATTTCACTTAATCATTGCTTTCACTGGTAGTTTCGCCTTGTTATCAGTGAAACCAGGACCAAAACTTGAAACCTGCACTCCTCGGTTGTGTTCGATAAGCTATACCATTGTCCTTGATTAGTAGAGTCGTTCAGCTGCGAATTACCGTAGCACCCTTCGCTTTCATAGAACGATTTATCAGTGGGCTCCACAAAATTTCAGACCGCACAAGAATAGAACGGGGTGCCCTACACCGACTTTTACTCTGTCTTCTAGCCCAAACAGCAATAACAGCCATCACACCGCATAGAACAAACAAACCCACAATTCTGCTATATGTGTTGGTGGAACTGGGCAGCAAACTTTACTGAGACGGTTGTCAGAAGAAGAAAATGTTGACAAATGTCTGACTGTCTGAACAAATAAAATTCTTTGGTTATCTGGTGATGTGCAGGAAGTGGCCGAAGCAAGGTCTATTTTATCCCTCTGAATCACGGATAGCATTTAGATTCGCGGAAGCACAGTGCAGACCATTAACTGTGTGGCTTGCATCTCTTGTTTTGCAAAACACCTTTTACATCCATTCTTAACTGAAATTTCGCTTTACTGTAAAATCCACATGAAAACTATAGCAACTTGGAATAAAGACATCTAGAAGCAAATCTCATTCATAAAAAGGATATAAGTACTGCACCAACTCTTGTCAAGCCATTTTGGCAGCTGGAAATAGGATAAAAAACACAAAAAATGAGTGAGAAGCAATTTAAGCCATCCAGTAGTTCAGCATTCATGTGGCTAGACTTCTTATGGTGTTACTAACACCCCATAGGTTAAACTGGCGATGTAGAAACAGACCATTAGACCATACATAAAAACTACGGACCGACAAAAAAGCAAAGTAATATGAATTTTTTTTGGGGCACGAAGATCTTGTCAATAACGAATTAAACATAAACTGCACTATTACCAATTGATGACAATGCTCACCAGAAAGTTCTACAAGTTATTTGGTATTACACCTTTTCGATTCGTTTTGCAGTGAGGAGAACGAACTACACTCCCTCTTCGTCCCACTTTGTATTTGTATCTTCCTAAAGAGTTTAAATGTTAGAAGTCTCCAGTAATACTAAGAAGCTAGTAATATCGCAAAAAGGGAAAGAAGCTTTAGAGTTAACAAGGATGATTCAATTACTGGTTCATCATCTATCACTGAAATTTTACTTCGATCTATTATCAGTCGAGATATACTCGACAAGAGAAAGAAGGAGTTTTACCATCAACGTGTCTGCGAAAAATAAAATAAGAAACCTCAGTGAGATAATGATTATTCACAGAAGACGACCCACATGCCAGATCCAATCTATAACAGTATTCTATGAAAGTTTAATAACAGTTCCTTCAAAATAACCGACAAAGATCAGCTGATTGACGAGGAAATACTTTTCTTATAGATGGCATTGATGAAGAGCTCATTTGGCTCAACTGCAATGCCCTGGACGCGTAATATCGCACTACACATCCAATTTGCTTTCACTTCCCATGCTATCTCTAAGGAATAGCAATTTCAATTGTGTATATTTACAATTCAAGTCAGACATAAAATTAATTGGAGGATATTGGAACAAATTCAAATTAAGCGCAACGTTCCTGATCTCAACAACCAACTACTAGAATAGAAATACTGTACAATGGTAAACTCACGAATTGACACCGTTCACTTCCTTGAAGTCGTTATTGTTTCTCGTATACTTGGCTTTTAGTGTTTGCTGACGAGTTAAATACTCAGTAATACAACTTCGTTCAAAACGCGTCAATTCCAGATATCCTCAAATGTTTGGTGTTGATTATGAGAAATGCCTCAAATAGTAACAGCACAACACCGAAGCCTAAGCATTCTATATTCAAAAGTAACCTTACTCATAAATCATAAAATGGCTATAAAAAGATAAAGCATAAGGCTCTCGACATTGATCAGTCCCTTGGGAATGCGCCGTGCATTCGACTTCATTAAGGATCGTTTCGAGGTGATTCAATGCGTATCCTGGCTTTACAATTACTCGCGGTGCCCTACCAATTTATCGAGCCTGTGCCGTTGTCCTCAAAGACAAGTTTGGTACCAATCTGATGACCACGGATGGATGGAAGGCTTGGTGAGCCAGGCGCGCGGGAATCAACCTCATGTGTATAGCAGGGCGCCTCCGAGCAGTGGGCCACACGCGCCCGTAAAAACGCTATAAAATACCCAATAATTCACTTTCTATGCGAATACTTTTAAACCGTGCAAACCGTCATAAAATCACACTGCACAATCGTACCCATTTTGCGTCTTAACACATCAATATGACCAGCATAACGTTTACGGACGAACTCGCATAAGCATTCAAACTGTTTAAGGTCCAGACGACGTACGTACAAATCAAGACTATTCATCGGAGTACAAAACTCGGTAGTCTGCCCTAAATTTAAAAATATAATGCACCACTGAAAACAAATGCATCTACTGAATAACAAGTCACTGCTAGACAACAGTTAGATTTCTTAAATTAGAAAACAAAGATGTATAAAAAATATCACAAGATATATAAACCTTGTATTATCACTCTCACCAATGGCGGTGATAAATTTTTCAGTAATAGCATCGTACCAATCATTTCTAAGGCTCTTGTTGGAATCACCGATCCATGTAGATGCCAGTCGCATATCTTCATACTATACCTAAATAAAGTAGAATGAGAAAATACTAGCGATTTCTTTCCGTGAGGTATTCCAATGTAAGAAAAAGATTTATAAAGTTTAGCGATAATACTAACACCTGATATAAAAATGACTAAAGATTCTACATGGAAAGAATGTAAAGTAGACAACGTTTACAACAGTGTTCTTCGCCATGACGTGATAGACACCACTACAACACTCCCATCAACTCATGTTAATGATCCGAATCTATCCGAAAACGGCTAGATCGCCACTCAGCACCGAAAGGCAACAAATAGCAAAACATATCCATCGTTATTTAAGGTCAGATCTATCATTAGCTGTGCAGACGAGCCAACGGATAGAATAACGTGGTTCATAACCCTAATACTTAGTTGTTAAAACACACTCCAGCCCATCTAACGAACACCCAGATGTTCCTGGATCGTCTACGTGATGCGACTACAGCCCTCTATACAAATGTGTCGAATGACTCCGCTATGCAAACCATCCTCGAACTCCCTATACAACACGAAGGAGAAATAGACATGTATGGCTGAAGTTTCAGCAGTTGATAACACCCTTAAAATAGTGCCTAAAGTTCTCAATTTTAGACGGTCCAGTAGGTATTACGCACAAATGAGAGGACTGGCAGTGGGACAACAATTGGCACTAAGCTTTGGTATCGCATTCATGTCTAGGGTGGAAGCACCCTCCGACCATTGCTCTAGATATATAGACGATTGTTTTGTCATTTGCTCAACGCAAGAGGAAATGGACAAATGCTTAGCGTTACTGAATGAACAGCAGAATACACTGAGTTTACTAGAGACAGACCGAAATTTGTAGTTATAATCACTGGCTGTAATCAATAATAACCATAAGGCTCTCGACATTGACTGCAGTTATAATCAGAATTTTAAGTTTTACAGTTTTGCAAATATCTCAGCATCGTTAAAGTTTTATTTCGCGACAGTTTGCACGACCACCTACGCACAGCGCAAAGTTGCATAAATTTCCCCGGCGGTACAGACGATAACTGAGTGACTTCGGCAGCGCGCGATGTACCTAATCTCTTGTAAAGCGTGTTGGTACGAACAAACTGGCCAAATGTGTGGGCCACTATGTGTTCGTATAAAGGAATACAAGGACGGTAAAGGTAGAGATAAACGAAACACACCACTAGACATGCAGCAGCCTCGCACAAGGATCTAAAACTCCAACGCGTAAAATCCTCAAAGCACTATAGATGAATTTCAAGGATCCAAAAATGAACATCCGGGAGAAATGTCTCATTATTACGCGAGATCTCAAACAACATCTGAGACTGATACGCTAACGTGAGAGTGGCTTATTACTTTTCCATGTGAGCTCATCACGGTTGCAACGTCGAATACTCAGTGAAGACTCACAAAGAGTGATAAGAATGCGAAGCTGCTTTGTTTTCAGTGGAATAGAAATATAGGCGTCGTATTTCTTTACATTCCTGTTCAGCAAACACAAGGTGAGAGAGCGAAAGAGCGATTAACATGTATGGCTTTTCGATTCAGCAGCTTATGGTCCTCCTGAAGGTCTGTTTAAACTGCTCGATCT